AAAAAAAAAAAAAAAAGTTAAGTCGAACCATTGTAAGTCAGGGACTATCTGTCTATATGAGCAAATTATGAATTAAATATGAGTAAATTAGTATCATAAAATAAATCATCAGCAGTATTTTGAGTATTGGTGACTTAATGAAAAATATGACCCTCTGACAAAATACGGACCTCTGATTAGGAAAAAAAAAACCACATGATAGAATAGACCCAATTTGTCGTGTGTAGAACTAGTCTGCTTCTAGTTTTGTCAAGACCAGAAATAGCCTGAGATGGAGGAGCTCTCTCCCACACTCAACCTTTGCCCCAGTGAATGGAGGCAGAGCCCAATCTTTTCTAAGATAAATGATGCCCGAAAGCTGGAAACTGTTGTGCAGAGAGCTGGCAGAAAGTGAGGTGTGGGCAGACGGTTGAGGCTGAGGTCTTATCACAGGGCATCCAGTGGGCAGACCCTAAAACTGCGGAGCCAAAAAAAGAGACTGATTTCCTGCCATGGACTTCCCTGTGTCTGAGGGAAGGGACAACGTTTATTGATCTAATCCACGTATCTAACAAAGAGAGCCACAAAACAGGAGCCGATCAGCGCCAATGCAGAGGCCGTGATCACCACGATGCCGCTCCCAGCCTTGTTGACCAGAAAGCCCAGGCCACCTCCAACCAGGATCTGCGCCAGCTGCACCATGCAGGTGAGGACAGCGCAGGCCAGGCCCTGCCCTCTCCCACCGCCGTCCTCGCTCCCTCCCGGGGCCTGCTGTCTCTGCAAGGGAAACACAGGAACACGCTTCATCTACAGGAACTGTGCTTTAGGGCAGAAGTTGGCGCACACTTTTTCTGTGAAGAGCCAGATAGGAAACCTTTCAGCTTGTGGGTCCCATGGTCTTGGTTGCATCTACACAACCTGTTCAAGACCAAGTCTTAAACTCCCCTGTTAATGCCTAGGAAGGTTAAATGGTTAAGATATGCAAAATTATCTCTTCCTAAGAAGTCAGTAAGTAGGGGCACCTGGGTGGATCAGTTGTTAAGCGTCTGCCTTTGGCTCCGGTCATGATCCTGGGGTCCTGGGATCGAGCCCTACATCGGGCTCCCTGCTTGGGGGGAAGCCTGCTTCTCCCTCTCCCACTCGCCCTGCTTGTGTTCCTGCTCTCGTTATCTCTCTCTCTCTTTGTCAAATAAATAAATAAAATCTTTAAAAAAAAAAAAAGAAGTCAATAAATACAATGTAATGGAAACTCAATAAATATGCCATTCCTTTCCTTCCGTCGTGTTAGAAGTTCAAATATGTATAAGAAGGGTATTGAAGCACAGATCTACATAGGAGAAGCAACATGAAAAAAAAAAGCAAAAAACATTTCAACCTTTCAGAATGCAGTTGGTCTGAATTGGTTGATAATGTTGCCATTCATCGGGTGTCTTTTACGTGCTGGGCCTTACACAAGATTCTTTGGCTTGTGTCGCTTCGCTGCTTCACCGCATCCTCCCCTCCTCCCCGGTTGCACATACTATCATCCCCATAGAACAACAATAATACTAACTACCATTTTTTGAGTCCTTCCCAGGTGCCAGGTAGGCATGATGCCAGGCACCCCACTTGCACTACCTTGTTTAATTTCATTTTCCAACCACTCCTTAAGGTGGGCTTATTTTTCCTATTTGCTTGATTAGGAAGCCCAGGCCCTAGAGTCTGAATGATAATTCCTATATCATTAAGTAAAAAAAAAAAAAAAAAAAAGCATTGTGCAGAAAAAAGCACATAATACTTTGAATACGAGAGGAAAAATAGGAAAACAGATTCATACTTGCTTGATGTTCATTTTAAAATACTGGAAGGATAAACAAGATAAAGAAGAACCTAGCAAGGGGCTCACGCGTAAGCCCCGGAGGGCGATAGGAAAGGTGTCAGTGGGAGCCACTTCGGGAGTGCGCGTGGATACGGTTCGCATTGTTGACCCATGTGAACATACTGCCTTATCGAAAAAGGAACTCATTTTAAGGGAGATTTAATAAATAAACGAATAACACCCCCTGTGTCACACACCTGCAAAGGAGGGGTGGCAGGATTTGAATCCAGGTTTCTCTGAGTCCAAAGCTTGTGTGTTGCTCCCTGGTACCACCTAACTGCCCCCTAGGAGGGACAGTTCTGCGTGATAACTGTCTCTAACAGCAAGACCCTTGCGTGCATCGGAACATTAGTGACACTGATTGCCAGGGGGGTGAGGACAGCCACAAACTCTCGTTTGGAAGGTTCTAACTCCTGGTGCCACTTTGCCCTGCGGCCTTTGCCAGGTCAAGGGATAGGGAAAGCGGCGAGCATTGCAGCCACATAAACGTGTTTCTGCAGTGTCACACTGTGATAGAGTGAGCTGGAAGTTACCTCTTTAGCTCTTGTATCACTACTCCAGCTAAGGAAAGGTGATGCCTATTTTCATGGAGAAAAAGTGACCTCTTTTGAAAAGAAGAGGTGGTTTTCTTAGAGCAGAAACACCAACCCACTGTTGCTGGGGGGCAGCATGGTGCCTTGCCCTCCAGCCTGAGCCTCAAGGCAGAGCTGGGGCAGGCCTCCCTGGAGGCAGCTGGTGGGCTGACCACCTGCAACCTCAGCTTTCCTCCTTGCACGCAGGGTCTGACTTGCTAAAACCTGGTCTCCAAGGGAAATCTCCTACCTTTACCCAACGATTCCCAGAAATGCCACCTTGCAGCCATTGGGGTGGGTGCCAGTGCAGGTGAAATGCTGCAGGTGCTCGGGACATTGGGGCAGGCGTCAGAGTCCCCAGGTTCCCCTTTCTTTGTCTCTGTGTGATAACCAGGGTGGGCTTGTTTCTCAGCATTACTGAGCCTTCTTTCCCTAATCAGATACCGGAGGGTAACTGGACCTGCTCTACAGCTCTCCAGGTGCCCAGGGCTTCCGAGTAAGGAGGGGGGTGTGGGCTGCGAAGGTGGTCATGCTTTGGCCAGACCATCACTACATTTGGCTGGGCATTTTAGAGTTGCTGTTCCAAGACCCTGATTCTCCAGCTCTGCCCTGTACTTTCCTACCACATCCCCCCAGCCTTCCAGTGAGGTTCAATGACGCACCTTCTCCTCCTGCTCCTCGCGGTGGTACTTGGCAATGAGGTTAAAGGGCACAGTGTACAGAGTGCTGGACATCACACCAAACAAGGTACACAGAGCCAGGGTGGAGTAGACGTTCGGGAAAAGCCCAATAAATCCTGTCCCCAGGCCAAATAGCAGATACCCCATGAAGTAAAGACCCTTTAATCCGACGTAGGATACCAAAGGTTTCTGAAAGTCTGTGGGGAGAAGAAAGAAAGAAATTACAGCTGGAAGTGCCTCACAGCATTTGGTAATTTCAGACAATCTTTTCTTTTGAAGATTCACTGTTTTTTAGGGGCTTTCCTTTGATACTGAATCAGGAACAAAAGAACCTCCTTATCTTTGCTTCAAAATAGCTGGCTTTTGGAATCGGTTTTAAATCCTGTGCATGCAGAGGGCTGGAAATTGTCTTGCTAGGTTGGTTTTTTTTCCCACAAGTAAGGACCAGGCGCCGTTCTGGCAGGCAGCTGAATAGCAACAGGATGCAAAGAGGTGCTGGAAAAGCGCACCTTGGCTATGGGACTGTGGGGGTGCAAGACGTGGAAGAAAAGTGGGTCCTTCTAATTCACAGAGTCTGGCCTAACAGGACACAAACAAAAATCCAGGCCTATCCTGGCCCCATGGCCCAAAGTCAGGTTGGAGGCAACTGAAACAACCAGATTTTAAGAATGATCCAAGTCATCTGGTCCCTCCACCTCCATTTGAATGTCATCTGCATACATGAGAAGGAAGCCAAAGAATGTTCTTTGTCTAAAGACAGGTTCCCTTACTTGCCAACACTTCCCAGGCTGGTGAGGGGCCCTCACTGTACCCAGCACCTCCCCATTGCGGGCTCCCTCCCTGTCAGTCCATTCCCATCACTTCTCAAAACCTCAGGTTCCTCATCTAAAAAAACCTACACAAACAAATGGAACTAATAAAACCCTTCTTTGTGGTTGTTGTCAGGATCAAATGAAATCCAATGCTTGTGACATCACTCAGCCCAGTGCCAAGCACACAGAAGACATCCCGTTGATGGTGGCTATTGTCATTTCAACAAATACAGGCTTGACTGAGGCTGAAGATGGTTATCTCTTAACTTGGTTCCCCACCCAGCAGGTAAATTTGGCTTGCTCATAAAAGTACTCTAGTAGAGTTCATTCTTAAAAATTGAAAATTCTGATAAATAAATAAATAGAAAAAAAACGAACAAACAAAAAAAAAATTGAAAATTCTGCTTTACAATGTTTTACTATGTTTATGTTCTACTTTACAATGTTTTACAATGTTTACTATGTTCCACCATGGTAGGAGAATTCCCTAAAAAACTTCAGTCTTTCGGAGAACCTAGGTGGCTCAGTCATTTAGCGTTTGCCTTCGGCTCAGGTCATGATCTCAGGGTCATGGGATGAAGCCCCGCATTGGGCTCCCTGCTCAGTGGGAAGCCTGCTTCCCCCTCTTCCACTCCCTGCTTGTGTTCCCTCTCTGTGTCTCTGTCAAATAAATAAAATCTTAAAAAAAAACAAAAAAAAACTTCAGTCTTTCTTTTTTAAATAGCTGTTTCTCATCCATAGGCTCCCTATCTTTCCCCTGGCCATTCTACTGGAACACGAAACCAGGGGATAAATGATAAAGACCGAAATGTGTCTATTCAAGAATGAAATTCTCCCTATCTATCCAAATAACTGTTGGATTCACATCACAGAGACAAGAAACCTAATCTGTATTACATTTGAATCAATTATGAAACTAAATACTGTCTCAGATCATCCCATGGAAGTCAAAGCTCTGAAAATGACAAGTGGGCAATGTTGCTTCCTCTATTAAGTTCATACCATCCCTAGGGGGCTGTTGTCAAAGTTGAGAGAAAAAGCAGTATAGAGCTAGGTCAGTTTCTGTTTGCTTAATGATTATATTTATACAAAAAATGTAATCTAGGTGTCTCAGTACCTAAAAGACACCATCAGTATTCACTGGGGCAATGCTCTCATCCAATATGTAGGCCAGCCAAGAAGAAGGCAAAGAAGCATAAAGAGCTATTTGGAAACATAAGTAACTTCAGAACAAAGACTGAAAGCCAAGCAAAGAATCCTTTATCCATGAAGAGAAATCAGTCAGTGTAAGGGTAAACCTGACTCACCCTCCACTGGGTCTAATACCCAGTCATAGTTATGTCCTCACACTGTGCCTCTCATTAGGATTGGAGATAAATGACGGATTTAAGCACCAGCTATGACTAGTAATGTCGGATATGATAAATTGGCTACATTTCAGTACTCGATATTGCTATTTTCATGGATCTAAGTATGCTTGCTGTGCAAAAGGAACTTGAAAATACCATACCTCACCCCCCACCCCAGCAGCCAGTTTGCTCTGCCAAACTCCATCTGGATAGAAATTCCAGATCTGCATCTGATGTTATGTGATGAGTCCAAGATAGATGGTGTACTCTGGAACTGAAGGAAAAGATTGATTCTGCTCAGGGTGGGTTAGAGTGCAGAGGGAAAGAACTTGGAAGATTTAACAGACAAGGTCCATTGGAGCTGAGTCTAAAAGCATGATTAGCAGTTGTCTAGATGTGGAATTAGAGAGAGCATCTGGAGAAGGAGAAACTAAAGGCAGTAGGAAATACACAGAGCTGAGAAAGTCTGTGTAGTGAGTCATCAGGGGTAGTGAATCTGAACAGGAGTAAGAGAGGTCAAAGTGTGAACGGGACCAAACTGAAAATCATGGAATGCCAGGCTGAGGACTTTGACTTTATCTTATGGTCACAGAGAGCTCCTGAAGATCCTTAAGGGCTGGTTGGTATTTTGTAAATAAAATTTTAGCTCTAATTCAAATGAAAGGGATCCCATAGGGGCACCTGGGTGGCTCAGTCGTTAGGCGTCTGCCTTCGGCTCAGGTCATGATCCCAGGGTCCTGGGATCGAGCCCTGCATTGGGCTCCCTGCTCGGTGGGAAGCCTGCTTCTCCTTCTCCCACTGCCCCCTGCTTGTGTTCCTGCTCTTGCTATGTCTCTCTCTGTCAAATAAATAAATAAAATCTTAAAAAAAGAATTAAAAAAAAAGAAACTTACTTTAAAAAAAGAGGGGATCCCATAAATTTATATATTAATATAACTTTGGGAAACTATTCAAATAATAGTTTATTGTACACAGGGCTTTTAACTCAAAAGGACCTAAAAATAACATGCATTTTAATCTTCAAGTGCAATGAAATTCATACAAGAACTAAGACTAGACTAATGGGATGTCCCTAGTAGGGATTCTTTGAGAAAAAATTATTTTTTAATTGACACAAAACTAAAATGCATATTACTTGTGGGAAAATGGGCTCCTCTTACAAGAATGAGGGTGGTAGTAAATAGTACCCCCAGGTCTTGAAAGCACAAAGGGATTGAGATGAATAATTAGACCCTTTTAGTCTACCAATCTCGGATTCTATTTTAAGTACTTGAAATCTTCCTCCTGCGATTTTCTTAGTTCATGCACTCTAGGGGGAAAAAGGGAGAAATACAAGCTTTAAGCCACTATTATTTGGTTATCATAAATTTTAAATTAATAAAGTTTATGGTTTCATGATTACTGGGCTCCTGAATTCCTTACATGTTTGTATTAGGTCACCTTTTCCCAACTGTGCTTTATTTTGAAGAGATTTGTTGATCTTGAAGCAGGTTTCCTGCTGTGCTATGGCTAGGTGGAGGTCAGACAAGGGGTCATTATATGCATTCACTCTCTTCCCCCCACAAGAAGCACACTTCAATGGCAGAACATGTGCCCCTGAGAATGGTAACAGGGATTGTCCTCCATCACTTCCCCCTCTCCCACCTGGGCCATAACCCTGCTGTCCCTTGGGCCTACCCAAAGCTTAGAGCTCTGAGTTGGGGGCCAACGATCTCCCCATAATCCAGGAGGAGCTCCCATTATTATTAGAAGCCCAATTTCCATCCCAAATGGGGGAACCTGCATACATTTTATAGGCTAGACTATTTCACTTAATTCAGTGTATACAGGTCTTAGAGATTTCCATATACATTGGCAGGCACCAAATGAGACTAGGGTTATAGTATATTAGTTTGGGATTGTTTAAAACCAGTCACAAGGATGCCTGGGTGGCTCAGTCTGTTGAGTGACTGACTCTTGATTTCAGCTCAGGTCATAATCTTGGGGTCCTGGGATCGAGCCCTGCATCGGGCTCTGAGCTCAGCTTGAAGTCTGCTTATCCCTCTCCCTCTGCTCCTCCCCCCACGCTCTCTCTCTTTTTCTCAAATAAATAAAATAAATAAAATCTTTAAAAAACACAATAAATAAATGAAACCAATCACAGAAATCTCTTTGTTTGCAATGTCTTTACAACTAAAACTTAGCTAAGTGGGGGTTAATCAACTCTGGTCCCCATGGAAAGCTAGTACCTGAGAAAGAAAGTTGTCATCCTCAATCCTGGAATAGTGCTCCTGTGACATACTTCCCTCCCCACCTGAGCTAAGGTCATTTTGCATGTTAATTCTGTCACCTAGCATATTAACCATCCCTCCTATGTTCTGTCATATACAGATCTAATAAGTGTATCTGTGAAACTCCACCAATGATCTTATTCCAGTAGAACATAGACTTGATGCTAATCAATACTCAGAGCAGAGACTCTAGCCCTTGTGCATCTAATATTCCACCATCTTATTTACAAGATTTCCTTTTATTTTCCAGGGAACTTTGATCAAGAACCCATGGACTCCAAGGAAAAAGTAATCAATGAGGAAAATAACATAGAATTCAATATGGCAAAGGATACTTCTTGTGGTCCTTTCTAAGGGTCCTTTCTGATCTCCATATATTTATCAAGAATCTGGTATTTTATTTTATTTTATTTTATTTTATAGATTTATTTATTTGAAAGAGAAAGAGCAAGCATGAGTAGGAGGGGCAGAGGGAAAGGGAGAGAAAATCCAAAGCAGACTCCACACTGAGGGAGGAGCCTGACATGAGGCTCGATCTCATGACCCTGAGATCACAACCTGAGCCGAAACCAAGAGTCAGATGCTTAACCGACTATGCCACCCAGGCAACCCAAGGATCTGGTATTTTAAAAAGCAAAAAAATAAATATAGAAATATAAAACCCAAGATTCTGCTAGACCAGAGCCCTCTAGAAGATACCTTCAGGAGGAAGAGACTTACAAGAATAAAGTGAGGAAAACACGGAATTGATGCACAAGCCCCAACATCCAACCTCGACCCCTCTTTCATAGATGAGAAACTCTGTGGAGTTGTGTGCACCGTAGGGATCCCCTTGGTACACAATCTGAAAGAGAGATTTGGGACCATTGAGATACAAATGCAGTGTGGTAGGGACTCCCTTTCATGCGCTCTGCTTCTCCATCCTTGGGGAGTGACATGTCCCTGCCCGGGGGCCCTTCCTAAGACACAGAGCTCATTCTCCCATGACCACATCACCCCTTTCATCCTTTTATGCTTCTACTCAAGGACCTTCCAGAAGTCCTAATGCCATCAAGTCTAAACAATATTTCCCTGGATCATTAACACCTTTCTTTCCACCTAACATCTGGCCCCCGCCTAACTTAGGCAACCCTGCCACCCTTCTTCCGATACAGCCAACAGGCTTCTGACTCATCTCCACACATACCATTCTTATTCCTGCTTGGAATGTTTTCTCCCTCTTCTCTCTCTGTCCAACTCCCATTCACCTTTCAAGGCCTGGATCGTACTATACTTCCTTCATTAAGCCTGCCATGACTACTGCAGCTCACACTGATTCTTCCCTGTCTGTTGTATTTGATCAAGTACTGGTCCCATAGAGATGTCTAGGGTGTAGTAACTTGGCTCCAGTTCCTGTCTGTAAGACAGCTTCTTGAATGTACTCTTTCTTACACTCTTACTGTGCCCATCCTAGGGGAGAGCCTAGAAGAAACTCGACAGGTGTTGAATGATGGATTGATGTGCAAGGCAATGAGTATGTGCACAGACATGTTTATTACCTGGCCCATGAAATCTGTAAAGAAGAGCATGTTAGACAGGAAGGCGGTCCATCCAATGAAGTGGCTGAGGCAAAGGCAGCGGTAGTGGGGAGGCATATTCACCAGCGCGCTCAGCAGTGACTTCATGGTCATTGCCTTCCTAGTCTGGAATAAAACATGAAACAGGTGTGACCTTCAGTGCAGACATGCAGCCAGCTGTGTAAGCCAGAGCACACAGCCAGGTTACATATCTGTCAGTCGATTACCCCACAGAGTCACACTTTCTCGGCATGGCACCAAGGTTTCCACGGAGAGGTCTTATAGGAGGTGTTCTGTTAATTATGTGTGGATATTTAGCAGTTTCAGGCCCAAATAAGGCTTTGGAGAGCTGAAGGTAAAGGGACTGGAAATGGGGCTTGCTTTGGGCCAAGATGTAAGAGATATGTAGCATCCTGTCTTTGAGTGACAGAACCACTACACAAGGACAGAGCTCATAGATCTAAGCTAGCCCTTAGATGATTATAATTCTTAGATTTCTTGAATCCAAAAGTGTGGTAGGCTGAATTCTAAGATGGCCCCATGATCTCTGTCCCCTGCTGTTACCCCATAATTATGTTATGTTACATGGCAGAGGGATTTTGCAGATATAATTAGGGTTACTAATTTCTTGACTTTTAGTTAATCAAAAGGGAGATTATCTGGTGATTCTAACCAAATCACATGAGCCCTTTAAAAAGCAGAGAATTTTCTCCGGCTGGGAGCAGAAGAGGAAGTCAGAGAGTTTCAAAGCACAAAGGTTACTGGTTTTGAAGGTGGAAGGGGTCACATGGAAGGGACCTTAGAGTGGACTCTAGGAGATGAGTGACTCCTGGCCATCAGTCAGCAAGAAAACAAGCACCTCAGTCCTATAATCACAAGGAACTGGATTCTACCTGAATGAGCTCAGAAGCCGATTCTTCCCCAGTTGAGACTCCGGATGAGAATGCACCTCCATCAACAACTTGATTTCAGCCTTGTGAGACCCTAAGCAGAGAACCCAGTTGAGCCCACCCAGAATTCTGACCTATAAGACTGTGAGATAATAAATATGGTTTTAAGCTGCTCAAGGTAATTTGCTAGGTAATTTGCTAGGTAGCACAGAAAATTGATAGAGAGCCAATCAGCTCCCTGCTCTTGGTCAAGTACCTCTTCCCAGTTTATTTCTCTGGATCCTGCCATGAGCCAGCACACATAAATGAGCCCTATGTGGAGTCAGAGGTGAAAACAATATAGAAGACACACACACACACACACACATACACACACATACCCACATTCTTTATTTTTTTTTAAAGATTTTATTTATTTATTTGACAGAGAGAGAGACAGAAGGAGGGAACACAAGCAGGTGGAGTGGGAGAGGGAGAAGCGGGCTTCCCGCTGAGCAGGGAGCCCAATGTGGGGCTCAATCCCAGGACCTTGAGATCATGACCTGAGCTGAAGGCAGACGCTTAATGACTGAGCCACCCAGGCACCCCCACACACACATTCTTTAATTTAGGCTTAAATTATGTTGAAACCAAAGGCTACACTATTTTTTTTGTATCAGAAACCTTGAGAAGATGAGAAATTTTGAACTATTGACACAACTGTTTTGAAATACAAAGAATAAAACAGCTTTCAGCATCTTGTTATATAAGAGAAGAAAGACACCTTGGGAATATTAAGACACTGAGACTATAAACATCAGTCATGGTGGGGTGATAGGTCTTTCTTCTCAGATCTTTATTTATTCTGAATCTCAACATAATGAAATTGAGTCCTGGCTAGTTTATTTATAAGGTGGTCTCCTGGGAGTTTCTATTTTAACTATAACAACATATTGTTTTATAACTCTTAACTTTATATAATAATGCTTTTTACTTCAATATTTATTGTGGAAAAATATATTTACTTATTGTAGATTTGTTATATAAATTGCTTTTTTAATTTGTTAGTTTTGTAGTAGTTAACCTACTGGCCATGACTAAACTGATCTTACACAGTCATCCCCACCCTTATGCATGGGGGATACATTCCAAGACCCCCAGTGGATGCCTGAAACCGCACATAGTACCAAAACCTATATAGACTATGTTTTTTCTTATGCACACATACCAATGATAAGGTTTAATTTATAAATTAGACACATTATACGATTAACAACAACAATCATAAAATGAACAATTATAACAATATACTATAATAAAAGTTGTGTGAATGTGGTCTCTCTCCCAAAATATATCATTATGTTGTACCTACTCTTCTTCTTATTCTTGTGATGACATGGGATGATAAAATGCCTATGGGATGAGATGAAGTGAGGTGGATGACATAGCATTAGGCTACTATTGACCTTCTGATGATAAATCAGAAGGATAATCTACTTCCAGATGGCAGTTGACCACAAGTAACCGAAATGTGGAAAGTTAAGCTTCAGATAACCGGGAACAACTGTACCTAGTCAGTATTTAAAAAGTATAGACATTCCTTTGGAATTAGGAAAAATAACTTCTCTGCATGTAAAACATGGTAACTGTAAAAATAAATGTTGACTGAAAAAAAAAAAAAAACCTCAGTGATGCCTTGTTACTTTTTATTTGACCATAGGAAGAAGCTAAGGGTATAGAACAAAAAAACAACAGGGGCTCCTGGCTGGCGCAGTTGGTAAAGCATACAACTCTTGTTCTCAAGGTTGTAGTTTTAAGCCCCACATTGGATGTAAAGATTACTTAAAAAAAATAAATAAAATCTTTAAACAACAACAGCAACAGCCTGAGTTTCATGCCTCAGACTAAGTGATTTATTTTTACTTTTCTTCTTTTCTTTCCAAAAATGCAAAATTTTAAGACGTGAATGTGGCCAGCAAGTATTCATCCTCATTCCAAATATTAATTTATGCTTCTGCCTTATACATAATTTTCATCCTACTTTCATTGTTAATCTGTTTTCCTTTCATCCAAAAATAAATATGAACTTTCAAATTGTGCCTAGTAGTTCTGTAAAAGCTGGGAATGTAAATATTCAAAGCCCTTTGGGTATTTTCACTCAGAATGAAAATTCAGCTGACATCTTATTCTGTGACTGCTTGATTCCCTTGGTGAAGTCCTTTCAATAGTTCTGAACCCTTGGGAGTTGCTCTACTTCACGTATTGTACACCTTTGTCAACTGGAGATTGGGAGGGGTGGATTTATACATGAAAAAGGCACAGAGGCGAGAGTAGGAAAGAGAACTTCACAAGCGTACACTCAAAAGGAGACTACTGAAATATTGAGGTAAGCAATGATGGCATGGAGGAATTGTCGATGAATTTTATGGGATCCAGTTTGAATCCTGAAATAATTCAGGCCTCCTCTTGCCATTAAAAAAAAAAATGATCCCAGTTCTCAAACTGCACCACCACCCTCATTTTGGAAAGTGTATATTCTACCTTGGAATATAAGTATTGGTATAAATGGCTTATTATGGCCCCTGTTAGGGCTGTAAATTCCTGAGCATAGGAAGCAGAGATTAGTCAATTTCATGATCCCTAAATACCTAATAATGCTTTGTACATACTTGGTACCTGAAGTAGTTTGTTGACTGAATAATGACTGTAATACACTTATATACTTATATAAAGCTTAAAAAGCACCTTTGCATGCTTTATCTTAGCTGAACAACCCAATAATCCTGGAAAATAGATAGGCCAACCCATCAAGAGAAGTTGAACTCATAGAGATTCACTGAGCTTGTATGAAAGTTCTGTTAGAGCACAGATTAAATCTGTTCCCTGTTGGTGTGTGAGGTGCTCAGCCTTCTGTCAGGCTCATAATAGGCACTTGTACCTCACCCCTTACTATGTGGTAGGAACTTTGCATGGCTTATGTCATGGAATTTGCACAAAAATCCTTGTAGGTAGATAGAATCACTTTCTTATTTTACAGAAACAAATGCCCAAGGTCATGCATTCCAGAGGTGGTAGAGGCAGGATTTGAACACCTATGCTCTTAATTTTTTTTCTTTTTTTAGAGAGAGACAGAGTGCCTGTAAGCATTGGGTGGGGAGGGGCAGAGGGAGAGGGAGAGAGAGAATCTTAAGCAGGCTCCACGTTCAGAGCAGACCCCGACGCCAAAGCAGGGCTCGATCTCACCAACCTGAGATCATGACCTGACCCGAAACCCAAGAGTTGGATGCTTAACTGACTGGGCCACCCAGGTGCCCCATATGCTCTTAATCTTCAGGCTCTTTACAGCAAGTGCCTGGTAATTGTTGAATGAATAATACAGGTCAGTCAGCTAGAGGAATCAAGATTTAAACCCAGGTCTTCCACAACCCCTTTGCCAGTGAGGGAATCCTTTGTACTTATATTAATGAGGTATTGCCATTAAACTCAGCTTGAAGGAGGATGCAGCTGTGCATCAGTGTTGTCCAAAAGAACTTTCTACAGTGATGGAAATGTTCTATATCTGCACTGTCCTGGACTGTAGTGCCTAGGCCCAAGGAGCTATTAAGCATTTGAAATGTGGCTAATGCAACTAAGGAACTGACATTTTAATTTATTTCATTTTAATTAATTTAAACTTAAATAGCCTTATGTGACGAGTAGCCAATGTATTGGTCTGCACAGTTCTAGCCTCTTCTCTCTGACAATTTCCCCTTAACCTAGTCCCATTTCTCTGTAATTTAGTAGTTTTTTTTTAATTTTTAAACTAATTAATTCACTGACCAGTTCACTGAAAATGACCTAAAAAAAATATTTAATCAACTCATGAAATACAAATTCAACATGCCCAACCCAGTTACCAACCCAGGGATGCTGTCATTTGGAGGAACAAATTTATAATCCCAATCTAAGAGTTAAGATATTTCTTGAGGCCTAAAAATGGTTCCAGGCTTCTCTTATGGTCTAACATTTTGGAACTGGCTCCCTCTTCTCTACTCTGATGCTCTGAAAAGAATAAGAGGAAGACCAGAGGAAAATGCACACATGTTTAAAGTTTTAATTCAAAGGGATAAGAGCGAAAGGGGATTGGAGGATTCAATTAGACTTCACATCAAACAAGCCAACAAAACAAAGAATAATAAAAAAAATAAGAAGGGTAAGAACAAGGATATTTTTCCTGAGTAAAGAAAAAAGAATTTGCATCTTACCTGTTCAGCAGGATTTTTGTTTTTTTCTCCCTTCAATGTCAGCTCTGGGTTTACAGAACCGTTTTTAGCTTTCTCAATAGACCCATACTGGTACATTTTGTCTGATGGCAATGGAAAGTCCTGGGGGGCTTGCTGTGGGGATGTGTCCTTTGTAACATCTCTAAGTGGGGCTTCAGGAATACTGCAGAGATGAATAATAAAACACAAAGTGAGCACCAAGGCGGAGAAGAAGAACATGACCTGGAATTCTGTGCCCAGCATTCTTCCTATCTCCAGATGAGCCCAGTCGATGGCACCCAAAAGGTAACCCAATGCACCTCCAAAACCTAGAAAGCAAGAAAGAGCTGTATTAGCATAGTTAGCAAACCATCTTCTCTTTTCATGGTGTCCAGGCACCCCCCCTCCTTCAGTGGGAAAGCTCCCCGAGGACAGCAGAGACACCTGGTTATGATGGAGAGTTAACACAGCAGGAGGCCAAGACATCTACAGCCACGAAACACGGGTACAAGCTCAGTTCTGACATATACTTGCTGTGCCCTTGGCCTTCCTCACTCATAATGTGGGGGTAATGATAGAAGAGCAACCCATGTACGAGTAGGGTCATGATTGGAAAATGGACTAGTCCCAGACACAAATATTGCCACCATCAGAAGTCCTGTGGCCTTTCTAAACTGCACTCTCTAGGGGCGCCTGGGTGGCTCAGTCGTGATCCCAGGCTCAGGTCATGATCCCAGGGTCCTGGGAACCAGCCTCACATCGGGCTCCCTGCTCTGCTGGAAGCCTGCTTCTCCCTCTTCCACTCCCCCTGCTTGTGTTCCCTCCCTCTGTCTCTCTCTCTGTCAAACAAGCAAAATAAAATCTTTAAAAAAATAAATAAAAAAAATAATAAACTGCACTCTCTAAACTGCTTCAGGACTAAAATTCTTGCCCTTAAAGAGCCCCAGAGAGAACCAACCTCTGACTGCAGTGAAATTATTTGTATTGGCATTTATATGTTAATTAGCTTCTTAGCATGACATGAGTTTGCAAAGATCAAACAGCTTTAAACTCTGTCTTCTTTCCTCTATTAGAAACTAAAGGAATTTGTTCCCAGTTGATAGCCACAGAACAAATAACAAAAGTTGAAATAATGAATTTTTAAAAATCTTATTGTCATCTCACAGGACGCTGACCTGAAGTCTTTCTGTTGCTAGTTTTACCTGCTTTTTCTACAGACAGTGTGATTTGAGGGACATTGAGGAAGGACTCCCCCAAATCGATCCTGCCCTAATGGTCTAATATTTGAAATCCTATCAGTAGTGATTCATTCTTTTTGGATTTTAAAATACTAGTGCCCCTTGTTGGTGGGAATGCAAGCTGGTGCAGCCACTCTGGAAAACAGCATCGAAGTTCCTCAAAAAGTTGAAAACAGAGCTACCCTACGACCCAGCAATTGTGCTACTGGGTATTTACCCCAAAGATACAAATGCAGTGATCCAAAGGGGTACGTGCACCCCGATGTTTATAGCAGCAATGTCCACAATAGCCAAACTATGGAAAGAGTCTAGATGTCCATCAACAGATGAATGTTTAAACAAAATGTGATCTATTCATACACTAGATTACTACTTAGTAATAGAAAGAAACCAGTTGCTGATACATGCAACACCACAGA